AAGTTATTTACCGCATTCCATCAAGTCTTTCGAACGGAATCAGAACCTGTCTTTTACACTTAGCCGAAGCTATGAGAATTCGAGAGAACAATCCTAGTCTTTGCATACAACAAAAGAAGTTTGTCCTACCTTTGTCTGTTCCTTGACCTAGGTAAAGTCCAATTAAAACCCTCCCACCCATTCTTATTTTCCATCTCCTTCATACTTTTATGATATCTATTTAAACTCTGCCCACTTCACCCTGAGTATTACGTAACTTTTAGAATGTGGTCTAATTTATTTATTGAATTGTCTGCATATACACACATATTGCGCCTTCCTAGACTATACATCTGCTTTCGACTCGGTCCCTAGGGACATCTTATTAAATAAACTTGCTGCTAGTCAAACAGAATGTTGGGCTGTTAACTGGTTGCATTCCTATTTCTCAGATAGAAAGCAGTACACCGTATATAAAGGGAAGTCCTCCACTTCATTGCCTACTGAAGCTGGTGTCCCTCAAGGTGCTGTTCTCTCTCCTTTTCTTTTTTCTTTCTTCTTGCACGACTTGCCTCACTCTGATGAAATAAACTTTGTGAAGTATGCTGATGATTTAACGGTTTCAATGGCTGTTAACTCCCAGCTAGATTGTACTAAAATAAATAGCTTTCTATCGGAAGTCAGCAAATGGTCTGAGTCTAACGGTCTTAAACTGAATCCTTCTAAGTGTCAAACTGTTGATTTCAGCTTAAGATGTAAACGACAGTTAAAAGAAGTCATCGATTCTCATGACACTTGTAAAATTGACGACAATGACATAGGAATCAAATCAGAAATTAAGTATCTTGGACTCATTCTCTCTTCTGATCTCTCCTGGTCTTCCCATGTCTTAGCAATCTCCAGTAAAATATTCCGCTTGACATTTTACATTAAGAAGTTAAGACACTCGGGTATAACTCAACCCCTCATCCTACAGTTCGTAAACTCTTGCATCCTACCTATTCTTCTTTATTGTTCACCCTTATTCTTTCCTGGTTTGCTTAAAAAAGACTATGTCACAATTCGTAGAATACTGAAGACTGTCAGTAGAGTGAGTGGTGTCCCAGTGGACCACATAGTTAACGTCGTTGTCGATAGGCATTTGACTTCGTGCAATAAATTTGCTAAAGGGATTTTGTCTGACTTGGAGCATCCGCTTTACCCTCAGCTTTCACCTTGCATCTCCTCAGGTAGAACAAGGAGTAACTTCAGAAAACTGTATGCTCGCACGTCTAAGTATAAGAAGTCTATGATACCATACTTGGCATGTATTTTATGTGATGAAAATAGTGTCAGGCAAGAATTAACTAACCTTCTTTCATCTAGTAAATAAACAATTTCCTCCATCCATCCTTACATACCTTCAAGTTTTACTTTTATTACTTCTATTAAATTTATGGTCCTGTTAATTCTCTGTTTTACTCTCATAATTGCAAACACCAACTTATCTCCATGACGGCTGTAATCTTTGTTTTTCCCCTCACCATCATGTAAACAGAACATTATATTCAATATTTTTAAACATGTTAGGATTTCTATACCACATTGCCAATACTGTGTGACACAAGCCAACGGCAATTTTCACTTGTATTCTTATTATTATTACCCTAGCTGTTATCATTATTATTGCTATTTCCATTTTATATGCTGCATGTTTTTGACACTACCTCTATTGTAAATGTGAAAAATTTTCTGTGATTAATTTTATTTATAATTTGAGGAAATTAGATGCAATATTGTGATTAATGCTGAAAATTCCATTCTGTATCACAAGTACTGTTTTTGGAATAAAGTAAATCATTATTAGTATTATTACTACCTTTGTTATTTTTATCGCCACCTGTCTAAACCTCATTATCAATATTTTGTTATCATTACAATCATCGTTATTAACTACGTTCAAAACATTTAACACATTATTATTATTTGATCTACAAAATCACCGTCATTGGTTAAATCACCTTTTATATATAAATCTATGTAAATTAGAGTAGAGCTTGAAGAAGATCTAATTGAAAACAATATTGTTTGCTTATATGTCCTGTTTTTATTTAAATGCTTCTCGTTGTGGGTGTGCGATATACTGATGTGTTAGTTTACGGCTGCATTTTTTCAGTGAAACAATCAAAGTCATTCTGACATTGGACTGTCTGCGAGAATTGTTGGTGTGTGATTCATTTGCTGACAGAGTCTTCGATCCCACCTTGTTGGGAATATTCTTATTTTCAAGAGTTAGCCTGTAGGGATTTGATTTGCTTCATCAGGGTCTAAAATCACAAATTAAGAGAAGTTGGAATGACATGGGCCGTTGGGTCGGGTCACAATGGCTACATGATACACGAGGTTGACTTTCAGTCGGAGGTTCTAGGTTCGTACTCCCGTGGGTGCATACTTCCTGTAGCCGGTCACCATTGAGCAGTAGACTACCTTTGAAAAGTTAGATTGTAGGGATTCGACTTGTTTTTTATGTTTCACCACGGATAGATATCAGATAAAAAAGGATTGAAAACTAACGAGTAGTACTGGACAGCTGTTTCGTCCTAATATGGGAATCATCACCAGTAGGCAGTCACCGGGGTTCGGACCCTCGTTAAGAATTCATAGATAATTGGGGTGCGTCGTAGTTACTGAATGGTGTACGAGCTCTCCTTGTAGTCACGAGGAGGTCCTAGATTCGAATTCCGGATGGTGATTACTCATGATGAGTCCCAAGCTAGGACGAAACAGCTAGCTGCCCAGTACTTGCTGTTAGTTTTCAATGATTCTCTAACCAATATCAACCCGTGGTGAAACTTAAAATAAATCAAAGCGCTACAAACAAAGTCTTGAAAATGCATTGATCTCCCAAAGAGAACTTAAATAAATTTCCTTGGACTTCCTCCGTTTAACGATTATTATTAGTCATATTCGAAATCAGCTGAGAAAGGACACAATATATACATATGTATATTTAACAGAACAACAGGTTCCGGTAGAATTTGAATTTTCCAAGCTGTTATTAAAGCCTGACTGAATGACTTGGATGAGACGTAGAATGTTGCACAGAAGCTCAGGGTTGCTCCACTGCATATACCACATGAAGGAGTACAGAACTAACATGGGGACTAACTAAGTCTGGTAGATCAGAAAAAAGGCTGAATGCAGCTGTGCTGCTTAATAACGATTCCAAGCCATGTATGGATTATTAATAGTCCATAGTCATTGAATTTTAGTCTGGAGAGTACCAACTATACACCTAGTTGACGTGGTTGGCTGGAACTAACTCTCAATGCCTTCATGGACTGACTGGTGCTCGTATGTCAGCTAATACAGCTCGTTGAGGAAGGCAATGGATCTACATGCGGAGTGAAATCCAACAAATAAAGTACATATTACTAGTGAATAACTAACTAACTACCAGAATTTTTTGAGAAATGTATAAAAAACCATAGAAAAAAATCAAGACTAGTTATAAAAACAAGTGAGGGAAATACCGAAAATAATAGGGAATTCAAAGCCGGTGTATTACTGCTGAATAAAAGAAGGAACGTCACAGGCCTCAATGAGACTGAAATGGAATTAGTAGCATTTGAACCAACCAACTCTCTCTCTCTGAAGCAAACTTTGTCGACTCAAGGACCCGATGATAGATGCAATTAAGAAAATATAATATAATTTACCAAATACCATGTAATGACTCTGAGGTTGATCAGAGTTACATAAGTGAAACATTATTACATAAGTAGATCGCGGTCAATTAGGTTATCGGAACATAAAAATTTAGCTAGACGTAGAATGATTGACCCTACTAAGTTAAATAACGTAGTAAACACACAGTTCGGGTATTGGATTGTATTTCACTTGCATGTCATCCCACAATAAGATGCGAAGAACAGGGCGACAGTATTAAAAAGTAATAGAGTTCGGTGGAGAGCGACAGAGAGAGAGAGAGGTTATACACTGAATCTTTGTATATCGATTCAACGCCACACATGTGCAATCGAAATGACGCAACGCCGCCTATACCAGAGATATGGAAAGTGGTAACGAACAACAAGGGGAAGAAGGCGAGAGAGAGAGAAATAGATAAGACAAATGATGAAGTTGTGTAACTTTATTGATATTATTATTATTATGAGCGGCAATAATTTATATTCGAAACCTTGTCATCAAGTTGTTAATACAGCACCGCCACTGTGTGATATTTAAAATAAATCTATCTAATATAAAATTACATCCTATCAGAGTGCCTAAATTCCACCCTTACATTAACGGTATTTATATATGTCGCAGTTATCTTAAGCAACACAACTTCTCAAACAACCTAATCGATTGACCTTTCCTTCATACCTAACACTCTACACGGGCCAAACTTCAATTATTACTTCACAATATTGTAACCACTTAACCCTAGTGAGGATAAATAGATTGAATGTAAACACATTTGTCATTTAAAAAATCCAAACCCTGTCCCTGCCATGGCCATCATAAACAGGTAATTTGTTTTAGTAATAACCATCCCATCGCCTTTCTTACCTAAACTTCCTGTTTATTCATGTTATTTTTTAAAGTTTTTCTTAATCCCTGTTTACACTACCATATTTTCATATCCGAACTTCGTGTTTATTTTGTCATTTTACTATTTCTACACATTTAATCCCTGATTGCATAAACAATTATTCATCACATTAGTTTTTATCCAAACATCTTGTCCATTTTGTTATTTCTACATTTCTAACCCCTAATTGCACAATGTCAGTCTTCTTAGTTATTATGATGCTACTTTGTTTGAATTTTATCCGTCTCATCTCCCGTTTATTATGGCATTTTAATTCCTTATTGTAATTTTTATTAATTTGACCCTTGACCAGAAATTATTCTGGAACTTTCCCATCCATTTGATATAAATACACGAATTTACAGCCTCCTAGTTGACGATGACTTCGTCGAAAAGAAAATTTTCTTTACTGCAACTGTCTTCATTTTAAAAAAAAGTGACAAGTGCATTAGAAAATCTGTATATTTTTGTACAAAATAACCCTTACAGAAACAACAAAAATATGCATATATGTATGGAGAAAGGGTTATCATCATCAACTGTCAGAAGTGTTTGTCGGAACCACCGGTTCAACGGAACATGACTGTTGGAATTTATCTGAAATAAAAGAATAAAGAAGACAAACACACAGGGTTTACTTCACCTGAGTGATATATACTTTTTGAAATTATACTAAGAACGTGAAGTGTGTATGCCGTAGGCCTGCTTTTGTACGGAGTTTTGTTTCACTGCATGGAGGACTTCATCATGAGCTGACATCATCTGATGTTCATTAACGACTGGCCCTATTCAGGTAGGTAGTTACCTGGGGTTCTAGTGGGAAGCCGTGACCAGTAGGGTACAGCAGGTTGAATGAAGATGAGGCAGTAACTCATTGAAGAAGAAACTGTGCGAAATGGTCGCGCTATATCGTGATTTGGCAGAAATTAGATTTCAAAGACCATTGGATAGGGTCCCAGTGGCTAAATGGTCTACGAGCTCGCCTTGTAACCAGAAGGTCCTGGGTTTGAATTGTGTGGGTGGGTGCGTACTGATGAAGAGTCCCAATCTAGGACGGGGGAAACAACTGTCCAGTACTCCCAGGTTTTCCAGCGGTTCTCTAACTTATGTCAGCTTATGATGAAATCCTCCATGCAACTGCACATAACTTAGATCATACTATGGTGTATGATACTACTGATAAGATTTGTCAGTAGTTTATATATATAAAGAGGCCTTTATCGCCATAAAGACTTCACTTTGATTGGCCATTAGTAATTAGTGTGATGTGTCTAGTCCTTTCTTTGGTGCGGACTGAATTCTATCAGTCAAATTTGTAATGTGACCACAGCGTTCTAGGTGGCTTGCCATCATGGTGCACATTGATTTGATGATATCAGATGGTTGGAGGCAATCGGCCCCACAGGAAGCCTTGCTTCACCCAAGTTTCGTGCTAGTTGGCACTCACCAGTCAGCAAGGTGTATCTACAACCACCATGAAGGAATTTATATGTCCCTTCCGATATTTGAACCCCTGAGGTCTACGGGTTCGAAACTAAGAGGGGACACCAGTGGTTGGAGATACACCTGCCTGGTTGACTGGTGAGTGCCAACAAGCACTAAACCTAGGTCCGAGAATTCCGATTGCCACCAATTATCTAATAAAACCTGCGTCGGTGGCGCAGAGGTAGTATGTTCGCTATCCACTGAGGTGGTCCGGTGAACCATTGAGCCACGAGCTCGCCTTGTAACCAGAAGGTCATGAGTGTGAACCCCGGTGACTGTGCACTGCTGAAGAGTCCAAAACTAGGACGAAACAGTTGTCCAGTTCTCCCAGCTGGTTTTTCAGTGGTTCTCTAACTGCTGTCTGCTCATGATGAAATCCTACATGTAATCTAGATTTTGCTAGGTTTTATGCTCAGGTAGTCAGACTGCACGTGTTCTACTACTTTGACCTTGACAATCATTGCACCACAGTATTAGATAAACTAGATGGTTTTGTTTAATTGGTTCCACCGAGGATCCTTTAACCGAAAAAGCTTGTTTCTAAGTGACTTTGTAGGTGGTTTAAATGCCAGCCACATTTAATCCTGAATTGTTTGGAATTCTCCGTTGATTTTCCTTCTTTGTATGGAAGTACTACTGATAATTTAAATCCCTTATCGCTGGTGTTGTCATTGTATTCTGTGCATGTTTATCAAAGTAGTAGTCGACCGCGGTCGACCAAACTAGCGTGCAGCACAGCAAAATCTAGAATAGTTGACCCGAATAAGATAATAAGAAACCTGGAGAATAACTCAATCCTAGATGGCACTGCACGCAACTACACACACAACCATACAATAAGATGGGATAAGATGACAGTTCTAAAATCCAATATAACACGGTGGAGGAAACAGAACTGATAACAGAATCTTCATGCTTATCGAATCGACTGAGGAGAATACATGCAATTGGAATTATTCAACACCAGTCCACTCGAACATCTGGAAAATTCTTTTCAAAGTCGTGTGATTGTAATTGATGATATGATTATGAACAATACATAAATTTTGTTCGAAACTTCGTCATCCAGTTAACAGTAATACTGTGTCTTCACTGTGTGTGTGTGTGTGATATATGTGTAATAAACAAATCAATCAATATGGAATTATATACTACCACAGCAGTGTCAAAGTCTTACACATATATCTTAATCTCATGGACAGTTAATTGTGTGTGTGAGTGTGCATATTATGTGTGTGTGTAGTCACACAAAAAAGCACACAAAGTAACTACTTAATAATTAAACATACAATTACAGGATTTCATCATGAGCTGACATTAGTTGGAGAACCATTGGGAAACCTGGGAGTACTGGACAGTCGTTTCGTCCTAGTTTGGGACTCCCCGGCAGTACGCACCCACCGAGATTCGATTCGTGACCAGTAGGGTGCAGCAGGTCGGGTATGAGGACAAATACTCGCCACGAAAGACATTGGCTAGAGGTCGCGCTATGTCATGAATTGGCAGAAGTTGGAATTCATGCGTTGGCCACTGGATCGAGTCCTAGTGGCTTAATGGCCTACGAGCTCGTCTTGTAACCAGAAGGTCCTGGGTTCGAAACCTGGCGGTGAATGCGTACTGATGAAGAGTCCCAAACTAGGACGAAACAGTTGTCCAGTACTCCCAGGTTTTCCAATGATTCTCTAACTAATGTCAGCTCATGATGAAATCCTGTAACAAACCAACACTTGCATACAGTTACAACTTATATATTCATAATGTTACTTACTACGTATAGAAGTGACATCTTTCAATTCATTCTGATCGTCATCCGCGTCGTCGTCATCATCATCAGAATCATTCTGTGGACGTAGTTCAACTCCATCAACATCAGGAAGTGGATCTTTATCCGCTTCATCATCATTACCAGCGATATCTAAAAGCATCGGTGTATGCTTCACGGTTTTTAACTTCTTATTGTCACTTGATTGACCTATGGAAGGGAAGGAAACGAAAAGAATTGATATCATTGTGTGTAAATTATTGAAATATAATTATACTTTATTTGATCTAATCCACAATGCTCAAACTTTTTACTGATATTAACTTAATATATATCTATTATTCATTTTCATGTCATATTGATGCATATTGTCACGCCTGTAGATAGATGCTTTTGCACTGTAATCTAGCAATATTACTGATTCGATATAATTTAAAAACAATAATGTTATTATTATTATTAACAATAATTCTCCAACTGTAGAATCTGATGCAGAAGAAGGCGTCTTTTGAAATTTATTAGTGGGCAGCTTTATTATTATTCCCATGGGGTTCCGAGTGGAACATAGGTCTCCAATAGTACATCCCCCAATTTGTCTTGTTCTCAGTAGCCCTCTTTAGCTGACCCCAAAGATTGCCCGTAGGCTTTCATGTCCTCCTCCTTCTCCTCCTCTTCCTTATATGATCGCCTCCGTGTCCCTATTGGATACACGTTAAACTCAGCATTTCCCACTGAGATCCCAATCCGGCAATGACCTGCCGTGCGATGTTGTTACCCAATGCCCTTTCCTCCTCATCAGATGTCCAATCTATTATGTACTCGTCGCCAAATTATTGTTATGTACTGGTCGAGAATTTAGTAGTCCTGACGGAAGAAAGACGGAAATCAGAAAGACCACTAGGTTTGCGATGATACTTCTATTTTCAAAAACATCAGGAGAATCAATTTACACAAGAGTGTGCGAGCAAAAATATATATAAATGTCCGAACAAGTGTGTGAACAATCAATAGACAGTCTTAACATGATTGGCTAATTATAATGGAGTATCGATCCATATATACATAGCAAAATATAGCAGACATGTCAACAAACACACATATTATATGGATATATATCACCAAGGACAGACTGTCAACAAACACACATATTATATATAATATAAGGGGAATATACATTGTTAAAGGAGACAGGTTCATCAAAGTGAAATGGTCACAGACTAAGAGAGCAACAGAAAGAGAGATCACCATACACACATATATATATATGTATGTATATATATATGGATACATATCACAATCCATCTGCAGTTTACTTCAAAAGAGTTGTTGAACAATAGGGAGGTTATGCTTGATTGGCCAGATAGCTGGCCAATTTGATCTTCAGGATGGAGTCAGTGAAGGTGGCAGCAGCAACTATTGAAAAAGTTTTTCATAAGTTATTCACCAAGTTTCTCACGCATACATGATAGAAGAACTGACTAACTAACCAACTAACTCGACATTGATGTTGATAACCTGAATTGTGTTGTTGTTTCTGCTGAATGCGGAGAGATGAAGGAAGGTCTGTCCGCTTAGGACATCTTAATTCAAAAATATTTTATTTAAAATTTAACTTCATCGCATTGTTATTAGATAAAATAACAAATAAAGTGACTAACCTTCTTTCATTTGTTGTTTACACTTCTCTTGTTTGGCCAATATACTCGGAAGATTGATCTGTTGTTTAATGAAAAACAAGTATGAATTACATTACAAGCAAATATTTTAGGGACAAAAAACCGCGAAATAAAATATTCAAATATTTTTTCTAATGGTCTAAGAGCTCACTAGCCTTGTAACCAGAGAGTCCTGGGTTCAAACCTCCTGGCGGCGGTAGATGCGTACTGATGAAGAGACCCAAACTAGTGGGACGAAACAGCTAGTTGTCCGGTACTCCCTGCCTAGTTTTCCAATGGTTCTCTCTAACTGATGTCAGCTCATGATGAAATCCTCCAACCAATCACACGAAAATTCCTACAACACTATATAACTTGAAAATTGATTTAGCTCACTAGCGACTGGCCCTATTCAGGTAGGCAGTTAACCTGGGGTTCTAGTGGGAAGACGTGACTAGTAGGGTGCAGCAGGCTGAAAGTGACACTGGGGAGCGGCTGCGCTATATCATGAATTGGCAGAAGTTAAAATTCATGAAGTGGCCATTGGATCGAGTCCTGGTGGATAATGGTCTACGAGTTAGCTACCCTTGTAACCAGAAGGTCGTGAGTTCGAACCTCCTATGGTGGGTGGGTACTGCTGAAGATTACCAAACTGGCGGGATGAAACAGCTAGCTGTCCGGTACTCCCTGCCTAGTTTTCCAATGGTTCTCTCTAACTGATGTCAGCTCATGATAAAATCCTCCAACCAATTAAATAAAAATGCTTACAAAAAAAACCAATACCTGAAAATATTTGTTGCGCCTTGATTTGGTCGTTTGTTTGTATTATTATTTTTGTTTTACAGAAAGATTGAATATTTCTACTCGCGTTACTAATGGAGACGTGTGAGTGGGTGTATGAGTGACTATTCATTGACTTAAGAACCAAAACCTTTCGGGTAACATGTACCCTAGATTTGAATCTCACTCTATCTATTTCAAAACTTAAGTGGAAACTGTGATTCACTGGCGTATAGAAGCAGCCAATCACCAATCTCCACTGGGTAACTGGTGTTCGAATCTTGCTCTGTTTGATGAGAGTGAGCGAGTAGATAGTAGTGTGGCGTGATGCAGATTGATAGGATGCGGCCATAAATTGAAGTCAATATTTTAAGTCAATGATTGCTGCAAAGGAGGCAAAAGTGTTCATTCCGCAAATTTGGATTGAGTTTAAATTTGCGGACTTGAAATAACCACTTCAATGAACAACTTGTCTAACCTTAGAAGGTCAACTGTCAACCAATCAGAATGATTTAGTCTCCTCTGACCTAGGCAAAGTTTAATGTGGTTAAGAATGTTTGTCTGTCTGCCCGTCTGTTTTCGACATAGAACTTTGCACCGATGTGCAGAAGTTCAGCTCGCCACACTCCCTCCATGTAGCACACAAAGCGAGAGAAGAAAGTAAAAAGAAATGCAAAATAGAGACAGTAAACAGAGGTGTGAGACAAAGGAACAGTAATAACGAAGAACAATATAGTTTCATTGGAAATTATAAGTCACATGGAGTGGATGCATCTGCGTTAGCCATTGAGAACGATTTTGAGCCATATCACCAACTGTTTCCAACCATTGGTTTTTAAAGTCCCCGAGGATCCCAACCAGTCGGGAAGTCTACACCTTCCTACGTGGCTGGCTTAAACTGACTGTTGTGGATTTCATTGGCTGATGAAGCCATGTTTTGGTTTGACCGCCACTAGCTCTTTCCCAACGTGACCCTATATCAGTTAACGTTGCCCGTTGTCAAGGAAGGCGATGATTAAGCATACGTAACACATGTCACAGCCTCCTCGATTGATTTCCCCTGTGGTTTAGAATGCATAAATATGATGTGCTTTTCCCTAATTAAAAAAATGCCCTTTACCAAGTATTTTATCTCCTCTCGTTACACACCACATGTATCAAGAATTATGATAAATGTAGATTATAGGAATTTCAATTATTAGATTTCATCACGCACCACTAAAATCAGTTAGAAGGGTTACATTGAATACCCCAGGGAGTACTGGAGTACTGGTTGTTCGTTTCGTCCTATTTCGCGACTCCCCCCTCAGTAGTGCACATCCAAAATTCCACCACTATCATCACTACTATGCATCAAACCCGTGACCTTCAGGTTAAGGGAACAAGCTCGTTGACCACCATTCAGTCACTTGGGTTGGAATTTGATGATCTGTGAATTCAACCTTCGTCAACTTGTGATATATGCATAACCTCATTAATAAACCTTCGATGAAAGGCGATGTTCAAAAATAGCGCCCCAGGGGTGGGAACGCTCTAATGACCTTGAACGCATGCTAGTCATCGGCTAACGACACCTGTCATTATCACATAACTAAAATATCAGCGCTATTCACCAACTAAGGAGCAAATTTCACCCAGATCACGTTTCTGAGTACTGTTTGGACAATGTGTTAATAGCCCCCTTAGGGTTAGGATAATTGTTGTAATTAGGGTCAGAATTAAGGTTAGGGTTACGATTAGAGATAGATTTAGAGTTGATGTCGTTTATTTTTATTTGTTTTATTATCCACATCTCTCCCTGGTAAGTGGTCGTCGATCCTCTTACTGCAAACCATAGTAATTTATCCGAGGGCTTTTTGGGAACACTGCACATGAGGATAAGAGAGATAAACGATTCACAAAGCAGCTCATCTTCAGTCACCTCGGTGAATACCCATGTACAGGAACTGGTCTAACTTAGCAACTGATACTCCTCATTAAAACTGGGACGTATTTCTAAGACATGTGTCAGAGAAAGATACCCCTGCTTAATGTGTTTTCATGCATTTTCTTGTAAATATACGTCATTTTTGTGCAAAATTTCCTCATTTTTATGATTAGTCGGCTTAAAGTCACTTGTGGGTTCTCATCCTTGGGGTGCTATTGTTGAACTTTACCTGATGAACATCCATTTCGCCTTGACACATGATAGATCCCACTGGCTATGTCTTCGCATTACAGTATCAGGACATTTATCCATGAAGTGGCCATCAATGACGTGGAGATCATTGATAACTAGTGATCCCTGGTTTTTGATGATCTGGTAACTGATGTGTTGGTTTTTGATGAAGAGAGCAATGAAGTTTTGAACTTATCACCCAATGATCAGTAGATAAAAGCCTTAGTTAGTCAGTAAGTTACGTCATATAAGTTGCTTATTTATGTGGCCATTGAGAGTGGACAACATGAAAAGGTCGGCTAGCTGTCTTCGATCATAGGTGTCTGTGTTTTATCTACATTCCGTCTTAGATGGTATAATAGGGTGAGTAATATTCAGGGTAGTCTGCGGTCGAGTGTTAGGTAAGGATGGAAGGGAAATCAATCGATGATGTTGTGAATCTATATCGATTGAGTTGACTAGAACATATGTGTTATGCATGCATCCCTAGCCATCGCCTTCCTCGACCAACGGGTAATGTTAGCGCATGCCCAGCGCTCTCCACCGGGTTGACTGTCCATTGGATGACAGTCTAGGGGAGATGGCTAAACCCTGATTCCAAACCTTCAACGACTGGCGTATGAAGCTCACCGGAGCTCACCGGCAGACGTATGGACAAAGGGCTTGTTGGATGTCCTGGATGTTTGGCCCCATTCAAAAAGGCGTATGAACCGAACTCCGGTCACCGGCTGCCAATGGATAGTGGACTCCTTACTCCACTCCTACTGCGTTGTAGGTCACACTTGGCTGTGTAAAGGCTAGAGCTGCACTCTCAAACAAAAGGCCGAGCGATGCTGGGGACATCACTCGTACCAAATTCCCATGAAACTTCATAAAACTCTCTTACAAATTGCCGCGCCTGGGCAGCGATGATTCGAGACGTTCATGAAGCCGGCTCATCCTCCCGTAGGAGATAGCCGAAGTAAAGTAAGTAAGTAATGTTAGCTGACACAAGATGGATCAGCTTGAGAAAGAGCTAGTGATGGTTAAACTAAAGCGTGGAATTAGTACATGAAATCCACGTAGTAAGATGTAGGCTGGTTGCCTATTTGAGGTCCTTGGGATGGTAAGAACCAATGAAGGCTGGAGGCAACTGATGGTGATATGACCGGCCCAGATGGATGTATTCACTCTTTGTGATTTGTCATATCAATTAAAACTATTGTTCTTCCATATTACTACTATTCCTTTTTACTCACTCACACTTCTAGACGTGATATCCGGCTGGCTGTCGATCAAAGGTCGTGTGTACTGCTCATCACTCCGCTCCGTCCTCCTTTATGACTGTGAGACCTGGCCATTGAGAGTGGAAGACATGAAAAGATTAGCTGTCTTTGATCATAGGAGCCTGCGCTCTATCTCCCGTGTGAAGTGGTATAATACAGTCAGCAATATTGAGGTTAGGCATCGGTCGAGTGTTAGGTAAAGAGGGAGGGAAGATCAATCGACGAGGCGGTGAAATTACATCGACTGAGATGGTTAGGACATGTGTTACGTATGCCTAGTCACCGCCTTCCTCAACGACAGGCAATGTTAGCTGACATAGCGTGAGGTCGGAAAAGAGGCGGTCAAACCAAAACATGTCAGCAGTCAATGAAATGCACAACAGTTAGTTAAAGCCACGTAGGAAGGTTACGACTTCCTCGTTGGGGTCCTTGGGACAGTATAATCTAATGAAAGCTGGAGACAATTAGTGATATGACTGGTTGAAAACCTTCGTTCTCAATGGCTGGTGGAGACGCATCTAATCCTTGGGACTTATAATTTCCAATGGAACTATTTCGTCCTTTGTTGTTACTATTTCTTTGTCTCACACCTTTGTTTACTGTCTCTATTATGCATTTCTTCTACTTTCTTATCTTGCTTTGTGTGGTACATGAGGGAAGTGTGGTGACTTCAACTTCTGCACATTGGCACAAAGTTCTATGTCGAAAACAGACAGACAGACTCATACTTCTGATTATTTTCTCTCTCTACTCTCTTCTAGTGCATGTCGGTCACACAGCGGTAGAATGCTCGCCGACCACGCCCCATGTGGTACGCGGTTCGATCCCCGGTCACAGACGCACTTCATTACCTCGCTAAGCCAACAACAAGACTGGTAAAGAGGGAAGGTTGGCCGGGGGGGGGAATGAGGCTGGCTAGAAAACCCCATCCCATAAAAGGTAAACACCATTGCTAACGGAACTGCAAGCCTCTAGCTTGAAGCCACCCTATGTTCCACTGGGAACATAAAGGAACAAAAAACTGATAGACTGTGTGCTACATGGAAGGAGTGTGGCAACTCGAACTGGTGGAGTTCTCTGCAAAATTCTATGATGAAATGAGTCGGCAGATAGATAACTATTCATTCACTGTTTTTCGTACCCCTCCGACGTTACCTCAAGAAAATGAATAATGACCTCTATTCATACAAAAACATTTCAAATTAGACAATTTCTAAGCATAAATGTTATTCATACAATGGGGAATAAAATAGGGCGGTGAAAGGGAGGTGAATATGTGTAAAACTTGGGCACTGTGGTAGTAAGTAATTCCATATTAATTTGTTTATTAGATGTATCACACAGTGAGTGAAACAGTATTACTATTTACTGGATGACAAAGTTTCGAACAAAACTTACTTATTGTTCATAATCACTTCATCAATTATAATCACACAATTTCGAAACTTGAGTTTTATAGTTTTCTTTGTTCTTCCCTATTTGTCGTCTTCGGGGTAGTAGAATTTTTTATATATCTGGGGCAGTTGATGAATCATTCCTATTACATTTATTTGCAGTTGATTCGATAAACAAAGCTTCCATTATCAATCTCTCCCTATACCCTGCTATTACATTAGATTTTAAAACTGTCATCTTATCCCATCCAGCCTATTGTATGGTTGTGTGTGATTGAATGTAATGCTATGGCTGAACTATTCTCTAGATTTCTTATCTTATTTGGATCAACTAATCTAGATTTTTTTGAACACATCAACTCAAAGGCGGAGGCAATTCAATTCACTTGTGATGAATTGGAAAGTCAGGAAGGGGAACTTCCAATGTTAGATTGCAACGTAAAAAGCAAAGAAGAAGATGGGAAGTTAAACACACTAGTGTTTTTGCAGGAGACCCACACATTCAAACAGATATTTGGACTTCCAATCATCCCATCCTATGTCAGTAAAAATAGGACTGGTGAAATGTTTAAGTGACAATAGGGCACAAAAACTAAGTTGTAGTACCAAGGAAAATCTAAGACAGGAAGTGATACACATAAAAGAAGCCTTGAAACTTAATAATTACCCGGATAAATTAGTCAGGAAATATGTAAGTAAATGTAAAAATAAAATGAATAATGATAGTAGCGATAGCGATAATAATGTCAACACCAACAATAAGGAATTTAAATTATCAGTAGTAATTCCATACCAAGAAGGAACCTCGGAAACCTCACACCGGAGAATTCTTAACAAGGCTGGAATAAAAGTGGCTGGCGTTGAAACCCACAAACTCAATTAGATAGAAGCTTTGTCTGTTAAAGGATCCTAACTGTGCAGCTCATTAAACAAAACAATTTAGTTTATCTAATACCCTGCTGGAATGACTGTTAGGTCAAATGCATAGGTCAAAGTAGTAGAACAGGGGCAGTCAGACTAGCTGAACATAAAATCCTAGCAAAATCTAGATTGGTTGACCCGAATAAAATAAGAAATCTACGGAATAGTTCAGCTATAGCACAACACTAAATGCAATTACACACAACCATACAATAGGCTGGATGGGATAAGATGACAGTTTTAAAATCTAATGTACCAGCAGGGTATAGGGAGAGATTGATTACAACGGAAGCTTTGTTTATCGAATCAACTACAAATACATGTAATAGGAATGAATCATCACCTGTCCGCCCAGAAATCTAGAAAATTCTACTACCCCAAAGACGACAAATAGGAGAAAACAAAGAAAACTATAAAATTCAAGTTTCAAAGTTGTGTGATTATAATTGATGAAATGATTATGAACCACAATAAATTGTGTTCGAAACCTCGTCATCCAGTAAATAACAATAGTGTTTCATTGACTGTGTGATACATCTAATAAACAAGCCAATGTGGAAAGTGGGGGGGGGGAGGGCGGTTGATAAATCAAAAATTCACAAACCTTAAAATATTCTTCCGTGGCTTCATTAATTTTCTCCATCAACTTTGCCATACCATCACCTGTTATTGAAGAGATACCACAACAACGTAGATCTCGATAAAATTCATCCAGAACGAGTGACATAGAATGAACTAGACTATTCATATATGGTGATACTCCAGGATTATGAAATGCTGCACCATCTCCTTCAGCTAATAATTCTGATGGTCGGCCGTCCTCTGATTGATTATTATGACCAGCTAAAGCATCTTGAAAGGCTTCAAAATCTCGCATCCATTCAATGGCGAAATCACAGTCGATAACATCAGTCTATATATATATGAAACAATAACAAAAAAAACAAAGTGGTGCAATAATGAGGCGGAGGAGAGAGAGAGAGGAAAAAGGCATTTACTAAGGCATTCGTGATTCAACCAACACTACTTCGTCCCACTGGTTTGGAACTCTTCAGAAGTACGCACCCACCACAGGAGGTTTGAACCCATGACCTTTTGGTTACAACGGTAGCTAGCTCGTAGACCATTCAACCACTGGGACCTGATCCAGTGGACACTGAATTCCAACTTCTACCAATTCAGGATATATAGAGCGACTAGAGCACCAGGCCAATATCATCGCTAGCGAGTATTTGTCCTCACGCTCGACTTGCTGTACCCCAACCCCACTGGATGCGGACCAATCAAGAATCCGTTGACAAAACAACAATATTGTAATGAAATGAAGATGGATTGAGCACATACTGAGAAGACCACTGCATTAGTGCTGACAATAAAAATAAAAAACCCTGAAATGTTTATTTTATGATTGTTTAGTGTAGTTCAATCAAATTAACTGATCATCTTGGCTATAAACATTCTTAAGAACATCTCATAATTTCTTATATGATTATAGCTGTTACTGTTCACCACGCATACACATATCATAGCTTCCACTAGCAAATACTGAAATATTATTCATTATCAGTGTTTATCTTCCTTTCTACTTGGTATTTTTTTTGTTATTTCTGTGTTTTCCTTTTTGGTTTTCAGTTGTTTTTTATATTTATTTTTTGTAATACTCCTTTTAAATGTACGATGAAATTAGATGCAATATTGTAGATATGTGCTGAAAATTCCACACTGTACCTGTTGTACTGTTTCTGGAATAAAAGCGAAATTGTTATTGTGACACCGCACGCTGGACAGGCCCTCGAGGTAGAACCCATACGGGAGTCTGTCTGTCTGTTTTCGACATAGAACTTTGCACAAATGTGCGGAAGTTCAAGTCGCCACACTCCGTGTAGCACGCGAAGCAAGAGAAGAAAGTACAAGAAAAGCATAATAGAAACACTGAGCAGAGGTGTGAGACAAAGGAGTAATAAAGAAAAACAAAACATTCATAAGTCACAAGGATTGGATGCATCTGCGCCACCCAAACGGGAGACGAGGAGTTAAGTGTGTGTGTGTGTGTTCAAGGGTGATATGGAGCAAATTGTGCGAGGAGGAGACGAAAGTCCATAGACAATCGTGGCGCTGGCTGAAGAGGACTGAGGAGAATAGGACGAAATGGAGATATGCTGTTGAAACATCGTTTTCCACTCAAGTTTCACTCGAAGGCCTGTCCAGCGTGCAATTTCACTCAATGGTCTCCTCAGCAGGTGCCCAATCCATCTGCATTTTCATCAGAATATTTGTGGTTTAGTCAAGAGACTTTTGATTGGTTCGTTCGTCTCTAGAGTTTCTTGTTGATAATTCTTTCTGTCAGCCGGTCAGTCATCTGATCTTCAGTATGGAACCAGTGGCAGTTGTTTGGTGAAAGTCTGAAGTGGCTTGTTGGAAATACTTTCCGTGACGCACCCCTACCAAGATTCTGACCCATATATATATATATATATATATATATATATATATAGCAGCACTAACTGAATTAACATTGGTGTTTAAAACCTGAATAATGTTGTTTGTATTTAAGTGCAGAAGATCTCCAAACTCATAGTACAGAGTGATGAAGGTGTCTGTCTTGTCTTTCCGATGCTTTCTGGCAATGACATCCTCATGTGTGTATTGGAACGATCCTCCTGTCTGGCATGATAAGTGAAAGAAGTGACCTCCTCTATCGATTTTCTTCGCGTGATAGATGTTGTTTGGTTGTGTTTTCATCATCTCTGTTCATCTTCTCCACGTTCACTTAAAATTCTGCGCCTTTGTCTTGTCGCCTGTGTGACTTGACTTCTGTCAAGCTGGTTAATTTTCACCAGTAAGTCTTTAAATTTATCTGACAAGGTATGCGGCTAATTGTTAGTCAGTTATCAAGACAAAGTGTGTGCGTGTCTGTGAAACTCTCTGTGTACAGGGGAATAGGTTGATTGATTAATTACATTATTATATCTCAATGGTTGTTTACGTGCACAATATAAGGCCTGTCTTCTTATGAGTGACTTTTAGTATTACTGCCCGTAACCACACAATTTGTATAATTATGCCTAATTAAATAACTAATTGGTCATAGAACTCCGTCATCAGCTGACATCATAGGTTACAGAACCATTGGGAAACTAGCAGGGATGGATTACTGGACAGCTAGCTGTTTCATCCTATTTCGAGACTCATCACAGCACGCACCCACCACAGGAGGAGGTTCGAACGCAGAACCTTCCTTCCGGTTACAAGGCGAGCTTGTAGACCATTCAACTACTAGGATCCGATTCAATAGCCAGCAGCCCATTGAGTTCCAACTTCTGCCAATTCACGATATATAGTGCGACTAGCGTTAGCCAATATCATCGTTAGTGAGTGTTTGTTCTCACGCCCGACCTGCTGTATCCACCACTGGATACGAATTCTCACCAGAACCCTACCAGAATAAGGCTAGTCACTAGTGTGTATCAGATTGATATTCAAGTGTTCGTTTGCGGGGATTTAAATAGTTACAGGATTTCATCATGAACTGACATCGGTTAAAGGACCATTGGAAAACCAGGCAAGGAGGGAGTACTGGACAGCTAGATGTTTCGCCCCACCAGTTCGGGACTCTCCAACAGAACAAACCTAAGGGCCTCTCAGTTACAGCGCGAGCTCACAGACCATTCATTCAGCCACTGGGAACCTGTCGTCCAATAGCCAGTACATGAATACCAACTTCTGCCAATTCGCGGTAAACAAACATGTATAGCGCAACCCTCAGCCAATGTGTCATAGGCGAGTAAATGATTTCTTTACCTGACTAGGTGGATCGGCTTCTAGTGACTGAATGGTCTGCAAGCTCACCTTGTAATCAGAAGGTGCTGGTTTCTTCGAACCTTAATGGGTGGGTACTTACGATAAGTCCCAAACTTGTACGAAACAGCCGCCTAGTACTCCCTGTTAGTTTCCTAACTGATTCTCTAATTGATGTCAACTAACTAATGATTAAACATATAGACAAAGACGGAAGTACTGTGTGTCTACAGAATTATGGCGAGTGAAGTTGTTGATGGAGAGTGTTGATCACCTGACTTATTCGGGAAGTTGTATTAGCTAGTGCCAACGAGCTGATCGATGACGAAATCTCAGCATGGATGCAGAAGGCTCGTTTGGTATTTCCCAGGTTACGCCATTTCTGGCTTAGTAGACGGGATATTCGACTGCCTATCGATCAAACAACGTGTGTACTGCTTAGTGCCAGTTCATTATATCCTCCTTTATGGCTGTGAGTGAGACATGGTCATTGAAAAAGGAAGACATGAAAATGCCAGCTAGCTGTCTTTGATCTCATAGATGTCTGCGTTCCATCTCCCGTGTTAGGTGGCATAACAGAGTGAGCAGTATTGAGATGAGGCTTCGGTCGAATGCTAGGTAAGGAGGAAGGCCAAATCAATCGACGAGGTTGTGAAGTTTTCCCGATTGAGATGGTTAGGACATGTGTTGCACATGCTAGCATAGCCATCGTCTTCCTCGATAGCCAATATTAGCTGACTAACATAGGATCAGGTTGGAAAAGAGTTAGTGGTGGTCAAACCAAAACATGGCTGCATCTGTCAATCAAATCCACAACAGCAGCAGGTTGAAGATGAGGCAGTAAATCATCGAAGAAGACATTGCCAAGTAGTCACGCTATATCGTGAATTGGCAGAAGTTAGAATTCAGGGACCATTGGATCGGGTCCCAGTGGCTCAATGGTCTACGAGCTCGCCTTGTAACCAGAAGGTCCAGGGTTCGAACCCCTGGAGGTGCGTACTGATGAAGAGTCCCAAACTACGACGAAACCGCTGTCCAGTACTCCCAGGTTTTCCAGTGGTTCTCTAACTGATGTCAGCTCATGATCAAAATCCCCCATGAAATCCACAACAGTTAGTTTAAGCCATGCAGGGAGTTGTAGGCTAGTTGGGGTCCTCGAATATTTGTCCTCACACCCGATCTGCTAAACCCTATTGGACACAACTTCTCACTAGAACCCAGGTAACTATCTACCTAAATAGAGCCAGTCGCTAGTGAGCGTCAGATTGTAACCAATCAAATCCCTGCAAACCAGCACTTGAATTGTTTATTAAGACTACTATTTGATGCAGTTGACAAAAAACAGGAAGTGATCTTGTCAATGGATCACCTACTTACATTAGATCCTACCTTAGGCGTGGAATATACTATACTCAGTGATTCAATTTGACTACTGACCTGTTTATTTTCTGGCTTATTTTAGATATATGTGAGAAGTGGGTATGATATACTATGGTGTTAAATGTTACTCTACATATTATTATTTATTATTATTGTATCCTTTAGTTCCTAGAGGAACATAGGGCTTCAGCTGCGCACCTCCACTGCCTTTTGTTTTCTGACAACTTTTTCACCCCGCTCCAAGTCTGTCCACATGCTTTCATCTCCTCCTCGCATGACCTCCTCCAAGTCACCCTTGGACGACCAACTCGCCGCCTCCCTTTCGGGTTCCACTCGAGCGATGGGCTGGCTAGTGATGTCACTTGATGGTTTCCTCAGCCTATGGCCAGCCAATCCATATCCATTTCTTCCTGCCTAATTGTTTCACAATCGGTTCCTGTTGTGTTGGTTCGCTCCCAGAGATCCCTGTTGCTGATCTTTTCTGACCGGCCATCTGATCTTGAGTAATGAGCGAAGACAACTGTTAATGAAGGTCTGTAGTTTGTTTGAGATGCTTTTTACGACGCGACAACTCTCTGATCCATATAGTGAATAGCACTGACTTCACATTGGAGTTGAAAGTCCGGATGTTATTTTTGATGCTGAGTGCTGTTGACCTCCACACAGATTTGAGAGTAATGAAAGCTTGTCTTGCTTTGCCGATTCTGGCTTTGATATCCTCGTCAGTTCCACCGC